TGAAACTGTCTCCCCGAATAATGAATGATACGACAATAGTCCAAAGAACCGGCTACTGAACAGTTCTGTGACTATAATCCTTCACGCATACAACCGCTGAATTGAATGACCTCTTGAAATAAACAGCCATTTACTTTTCAACCAGTAACTTAAACAGCTGCACAGAACTCTCGTACTTATAAACAGTCACGGCGGCGTAAGGTCCAGTGGACAAGAGCCGCAAACACTGAAAATGCTTGCATGCCCACAGTACGTAGCGCACTGCCAGTTTTGCAAGGTAATGACGAGATGCCACAGCGAGCTCTCGGCATGGGTGGTTTCGCTACACGTTCAAAAAGCGATTCTGTGAAACTGTCAGCGACCGAAAGTTTCCCAGTGAATTTGATGACGATCGCGCTTGGCAACAAGTGGTACCATTGGATGTCAAGAAGGCCCTTGTGACTCGTCATGTAGAAAGCTTAAGCGATATTAACAATGGTTTCTTGCATCACCAAGTTTCGACTCATAGAACAGCCGCACCCGCCAAATGAAAAACTGGTAGAGTCATATTTCAGTGCGTTCGAAGTTCACACATGCGACGCGGCTTTCGTGGGAGTTGAGCTGAAAAGAATCAGCAGGCGATGGAACCTCAGATCTCCAGTGCAGTTCATGACATGAACTATAATTAAACATACCAAAACACAAAGATCCAAGTGTCCATTTTACATAGAAAGAATAACAACAAATCGGGTAAAATCAGGTAAAACAAATACCTATCGTAGAATAACGCGTTAATAAGTTAAAGGAAACTAAACAGCAAAATGATATCAGTAACACTGATTTGGCAGTAGAATATTTGATTAAAACAACCAATAAACGAAACGAGTATCATCATCATATGTCATAAGTAATCAAAGACTAATCAATCAGCGCATACGGCTACAAATAAACAGTACCATTTCCACTGATTATAACTGCAACAGAAGCCCCGGAAATATGGCTGGTCAGGTCAGGCGAACAGCATCAATCGAGCTACTTGATTTCATGAAAAGTCAACATAAATCACCTTATAATTACAGCAGGAATGGACGTGGGAGGGTAGCGGAGTGACAAGGATGAATAAACGAGAAACGGCAAGCAACAACAAATCAATTCAAATCAAAACACAACACATCATTATAAAACAATCAATCACAGAATAAAGAAAAGTATAAACTTTCGGTAGTCAGAAAAGGCAGCACATTTCGGCTGTTCGCGAAGACAGCAACGACGATGAAGTAGCATCGAACGAAGGCATGGCTGGTCGGTCGGGTCATCATAGCAAGCAAGCAACACCGCACGAAAGTGAACTGTCGGGGAGCGTATCACTTAAAGACGCGGTGTTGGCCGTGCTACCGGCTACCTTTGTACAGAGTATTCCTTGATCGCTAAACATAAAATCAAAAATATAGCAAAAAAACCAGATGACTAATTTAACTATTATTACACATTAACAAATAATACTAGTATACTGTACTAGGTAAAAAGACCTCCTGTAGAAATTCATAATAGATAAGAAAAATTTATCATGAAAATAGTTATATGAGATAATATAGCATATGAGATAATTGTAAAACAGTCTTAACCAGATGCTTGAAAAATTCAACAATTGCCCTGGACAGTTATATTCTAACCGATCTGCTGTTCCAGTATTGCCAAAACTACCCCTTGAAGACGTCAAGAACAAAATTCGCGTAGGTTCCTTGCAGGAATTGCGGTAACCCTTACCGAATGTCAGCCGCTTCAGTCAAAATTCTGGTCAAACCAGATAAAGATCCAGTTTTTCGTTTTCTGTTTTGTATTTATTCCATTTGTCACTTTTAACTCTTGGCAACTAAAGTTCAGTGATGTAAATCAGAGGGACTGAGTTATTTGGCTCATACGTTGGCAGTCATACTGAAAGTTCATCGCATAACTGATCAGTACCGATGTTTCAGACTATGAGACTCGGACCTTCTGCAAAGTGAGTAAACTTCGAAGTCCTCCTTGTCTTGTGTATCAGTTCGCCGTGTTCACATAAAAAGCTTTCTGTACATGAAAGTATTAACTACAGCGAAGGGCAACACCCACTTCCGAAATTACCCAATCTGTTTACCTTGAAGAAGGCCCGTGAGACATGGACCGAAATGTCAGTATTGGTCAATCGAATAATTTACCAAATAATTAAATCGCATTTTGGGCTGTTTGACTTTTTCTAAACACTATTTTTATCTTGACGACCTTTGCTTCCTTTCTGGAGAGATTTAAATGTTGCCTGTTCGAAGCTCGCTTTCATTCAAGGCGTTTTGTAAATGAATTCGTTATTCACTCCCAGATAATACTACTGTAAGCACGATGGTCTGGAAATCAAGAAATGGAAAAAGGTACTGCCTGAGAAACAGGCAGAAAAGAACCTTTATCCTAGTTCGCCAGATATTCGTACATATATTAGAAAACGTGATAACATTTCCAAAGTAAATGCTTATCTTAATATGACTACCTTTTTATTTTGACATTTAGCGCTGTTTCTATATTTCCGTTGAAAGTAAAATTAAGTAACAATTTTAATTAAGTACTAATATATCCACAATGCATGTTACGTGTGAGGCAACTAAAAAATAAGCACTTAAATTAACTTCGAGCAAAAACTGCAATATTACACTATGCTCTGGTGAAACCACGCCCAAAACGGCTAGTATTTCGGTAACCCAACAATACCGTGGTGCCGTGAGATGGTACAGTCTCAACGTGTGATTTAAACGGAAAATCGAGATCGTTTTTAAAGGTATGAACTAAGTCACGAATTTCAACGTAAATGGCAAAGACTGCAGTAAAAATAATAACATAATAATTAAAAATTCATTCATTCAGATCGGTGTTAAAGCATGTATTTTTTCCTCGAAGCAGCACAGTTACGCTGTTTCGCGTCAATGCCATGCAAATGTTAAAATACCACGGAGCTGTGGCATGGTAGAAACGGTTCTATTGTTTACAAGAAGCAAGGGGGCGGGGTGCTACACGGCGAAAAATCCGTGAAGCGACAGGAGATCGTAAGTCTTTCATTCACCATTGTAACCCTTCAACACTAGAGAACTGTCTGAGAACTGAGTGTCTCACAGCATTCTTGGTCATAGCTTTTACGAACGGTAATAATAAAGGACACAATTACAAATTTTCAACTTGGACACGAAGATAAAACGAAGGTAAGCCGAAGACGACGTAGACTGCAGTCGATGAACAACAAAAAACTGTCTTCGAATCACCGGACCACAGAGTCGTCAACAGCGATATCTGTGTGCGATGGCGGCGGTTAAACGCAAACACCGATATCTCATCTCGATGACGAACCACATGCTTAAAGATGTAAAATAATTTCCTATCCGACGCCGCCGAAACCAGAAATGTTCTCTGCTCCGTAATCTTCGCGATTCACAACGTTTTCGCAAACGCTTGAAGGGATACCTGTTTTTATTTGCATCTTCATAGCTCACAATGTGTTTCCGGTTCTTGGGTTACGAGACAGCAACAGCACCTTTGAGAGATCTGTGAATTGTTCAGTGAATCACGCAGTCTGCCAGCAGAATTCGCGACCATCTACTTACCATCG